AGCAGCCTTTTCTGTAAAAGGCTTTCTTTCAAGCCTCCGGTTAAACCCAAGCACAAAGGGCATTTAAGGAAAGAAAACAACTGTTTAACAAAATAATGGCGCCTTCCCAAGAAAGGGAATAACTTTGCATCTCAGGGATGATCTTCTACTGAATTATCCTTTGAAGAGCAGCAGCAATAAAACACCACTTAAAAACGAGTGCCCTGATCACGTAAGTCGTGTCGATGGAGTTTCACTTGTGGGTTCTCCCTCTTCCTTGGGGGCCAGCGTTACAAAATGCGGCTGTCAATACCATTTGGCTGACAGAAGCCGGCTGCAGTCTGCACCTGCATTGTAAGGGAAAGGAAAGGCTCCCCTCCCTCCCCCTTGCCTTCCTCATGAGGATCGCCAGGTGTCTGAGCAGCCGAGGGATCATTCTGCACAGCTTCTGTACCTCAGAGACCAGGTACTTGGAGGCTGTTGCCAGACACACCCTTGGAGCTGCACTCACTTGGATAATTTGTGTGTCCTTCAAACGAGGGAAAATTCTCACGACCCTTTCAAAAGAAAGAGGCTAAAAGGGCAAGAAGAGGAACCTTTAGGGGGTGTTTTCTGTGGGCTTTTTCTTGGTTTGGTTTGATTTTTTTCAGTCAGAGCTCTCCATTGAAACTTCGGGAGATTAACAGGCACCGTTTATGCAAATTTCAGGTGACTGTCAAATACAGAGCGATAAAGCAAGGCTTGAGTAGAGCAGAGGAGGAGGAAGGACATGACAGAAAACAGCATCACAGCACGGAGCCGAACGCTTCTACGCGACTCGGATCTGCTTTGGAAGCAGCAGGAGCTCCATCCAGAGAGCTAGGTGAGAACTGCACGCGCAGACAGACTAAGTCATCCAACCCTGCTAAAAACTTTCTTGGCAAGAGTTATTTTCAGATGGTGGGTTAAATCCACGTTTCGATCACAAAAAGAGGCGAATGGAGGGAGGATAGAAGGAAATTATTAGATGTTACCCCATGATACTGGTTTGTTCCTAATGGAAAGTCAAACCTTAACTCCAAAGTATGCAAGGGCTAAAAGGGTGATTCTCAGAAATCAAAGCCTCAAGACATTTGTTCCCTATGCCACAGGGACCGGTTGATATGATCCTCTTAATATTTCTTGGACTCATCAGATTAGTAGTGCCCCCCCTGAGTAACTTAACAGAACAGGCACAAAGAGACACAGACAAGGAAAAATTTCACTGATTAGATGGAGCTGACAGGCTGCCTAGAGCAAAATGCAAGCATCGATTTTACCAGAAGGCCTTTTGTAGATTCTTCAGAGGTCGATGGTGCCTTTGATTGCAAAGCATCGTGCTGACAGCAAGGTATACAAGTTTGGCCTCAGCCAAATGCACAGGAAAGGTGGGCATCGGTCAGAAAACAGGCAGCGGAAAACACAGAGAACAGTGAGTAACCAAATCACAGAGAGCATTTGCAATTAATTCTCTTTAAAGCCTGCCAGGTCATTTGCATTACAGTTTTGTCATCTGAAGATACAGTCACCATGAGGAACAGAAGAGTAGTCTAAGATGAGATGTTTTTCTAGGAAGTATCTCCATGCTCACAGTCCAGACATCTGACATCTACTGATAAAAGACCAAGACATTTTTTACCTAATTAATAACTTCCTTTCTTTACTTAATTGATAATAAGACTATGCAGTCTAATAAAATTTTATATAGAATATATCAGCTGAAAATTACCTACAAGGATCATCTAGTCCAACTGCTGGACCACTTCAGGGCTGACCAAAGTTAAAGCGTGTTTTTAAGTGCATTGTCCAAATATCTCTTAATCACTGACAAGCTTGGAGCTTCCCTCCTCAGGAAGCCATGGAGAGCAAAGTTCTCAAAACTAGAGCAGCCCAAAGTACTGAACCACTCCTAATAAGACATTCCTTCCAGCCTTTTCACCACCCTCATTGCCCTTCCTTGGATGCATTCAAGTACCTTCACATCCTTCTTAAACGCTGGGGCCCAGAACTGCACTCAGTACTCCAGGTGATACCTCATCAAGGCTGAAAACAGTGGAATAATAACCTTTTTTGGCTGGCTGCTTGTGCTGTGTTTGATGATACCCAGGATGTATTTCCCTTCTGTTCTGCCAGGGCACATGGCTGGCTCCTCCTGAGCCTGCTACCGACCAGCACCCCCAGATCCCTTTCTGCAGGGCTGCTCTCTGGCCACTGCTCTTCACATTCGTGCTTGTGCCCAGAATTACTCCATCCCTTGTGCAGAATCCAGCACTTGAACTTATTAAACTTCATCCCATGAATCGTCGCTCAATGCTCCAACCTACGTAGATCCCACTGCAAGGGCCCCTTCCCAGATTGGTATCATCAGCAGATCTGCTCGTGGTGCATTTAACTCCTGCATCCAGATCATTGATAGAAATATTGAACATAACTAGCCCTAGGATTGAGCCCCAAGGAGCGCTGCTGCTGACCATTCACCAGCCACAGGTAGCCCCATTCACTACAACCCTTTGAGCCCTGCCCTTCAACAAGTTCTTCATCCAGTACACCTTGTAACTGCTCATCTCATAGCTGGACAACTTCTCCAGAAGGATGCTGTGAGGGACAGTATCAAAAGCTTTATTAACATCCAGAACAGCTACATCCATGTTCTTCCCTTCATCTACTAGGTAGGTGACCTTATTATACAAGAATATCAGATTAATAAAGAAGCAGGTGCCATCCTTTTTTATGGAAATAGAAACAAGCAGAAGATGCTCATGCAGTACTGAAAGTAATTTCCAAACAGAATATCTACTCTAATTTAAAAAAAAACAACTTCTGCAGACATGTTAGTAACCATGGAGAACTGGAACAGTTTTTTTATTGTTAGTGGGCTCAGCCTAGCATTAATTGGCTAAAATACTACAGTTTGCCTGTAGAGAAGATCAAAGTGAGAGTCTTTTCAGACCTTTGTCTGAAAGAAGGTACCCTCTGCATCCTGCTGTGCTCTGTCATAACACTAGTCTCTATTTTGACAGTGGTCAGTTAAATACATGACTATCCAAATATCTGAGGACAAATCCAATATCCATCATTATCAATAAACAGTATTTAATAAACATGTGCAAACTCCATGTCTAAATCTACCGGAATGTTTCTCTAGATTCTTTCCTTCTAGCCAAGTAGCAGTTTTTGTGAAACTGAACTTAAACTTACAGTTAAGACCTACTGCATAATTGTTGCTGTAATTTCTAAGTCATTATATAACATTCGTGTCTTACAAGCTTGACCTTGTTGCTATGTCAGTAAACTAGAAAATTGTTGTTCAGGGCAGTGAAAATGGATTTAAACCATTTGCTATGGTTTGTACTATTATGTTTATTGTTCTGGTAGAATTCAGTTTGTCATGCATTGTTTGGCCCAGACTCACCCCATTAACTTCAGGAACTTAAATGAGATACTTAAAGAGGGAGCAAATTGCCATAAACTTCCTAAATGTGTCAACAGACAGAAAACAGGATCTCTACCTACAAAAGTTCTAACCTACCTTCTGAATGAAACCCTCCCTAAGTTGGGAAAGGGAGAGATTTTTAGGGAGTTAATTAGTTTGCAGCAATGCTTGTATTGTTTCTCTGCTGATAGGTGGGTAGCAAATTTTGAACAAAATGGTTAAGCAGATTGTTTGCTAGAAAAATCAACAACAGACTTGCCTGTAAATGTATATAGAAACATAATAAGGATGTAATCAGAAAATTGTCCTGATCTTCATTTGCACCAAATATGTCAAATAACCTAGATTACAGAACATTTAATTTCTAAAGGTATTTCTAATTTAAAAAAAAAAAAAAAAAGTGCAGCATAAGAGCCAGTAAGAAGTAATAATTGCAGTCCATTTACCATCAGGTTGGCAGGAAATAAATGGTATCTTGGTATCTTACTGTTCTTCTCTTCCTATGGAGTTTATTGGTGCATTTATACAGCTCTGTTTCATTTGCACATCTGTGAAGAGCACTGCTGTATAAAATGTAATTGGGCTGTATATGGAATTTAAAACTTTCCAATGATTAAATGTCTCAACAGCCTTTTCATCAGAATTACCAAAATCTTTCAGGTCCATGTTGGTTTTTAAATCAAAGCATCGCTATTTTTATTCAAGCACAGTGAGCTGGAACAATTCAGGACAATGTCATGTCAGCTTATTCAAAGAGGGTATTTACTAATTCACTGACATCCTATTGTCTCCACAAATAAGGAGACAGTCTTACACACTACCCTCCACTCTGTTTATGCTCCTTCCAGTTGTTGCTCTAGGGGCAGAGCTCTGCCTTTGTACAAGTCCCCTCTCCACATATCACATGCTGTTAATGCAAGAACAGGGTGAAAAGGGACCTCCTCCTGCCTTCACCTTTACCTCCTGGATCTTATGGTCACACCCTCTGCAAGTAATCAGGACTCGTAAATGCCATCCTTGATCATAATACTTCATAAACATCATTATTCTGTTGGTGGATGAGTGTTCAGTCAGGATGGCCATTGCACTCCTGGAAGATTACTTTCAAGGTAGGCCTCCCACTATGACACTGGAGAAGGTATGAGACCTGGATGATGGATCCTCCATCTTCACACCAAATACCCTCCCCTGTCTCAGATGTTATAGACACCATTTTCTGTTTGTATGTTGATGTGCCCTTAACATCCCAATCAAGATGAAAACCTTGTCAAGAAAAGCCACTGTGCAGGCAAATCTGAAATGATCTCTCAGTCTACATCAGGCAGAGCCAGACAGAGAAAGATAGAGGGAAGGGAGGAAGGACAAGGTAACAAAAATCACTTCAGCAGAGAAGCAGGAGTTCAGACAGCTCGGCTTCTACCTAAACAAACATGGCATTTGTCCCTTCACAAACAAAATGATGGGTAAGTACCTGGAACTGCAAGTACAGTCCATGACATTCTGTTCTCAACCAAGTAAAATCTTCACCATAACATTAAGCTTTTAAACATTCAATATTTATATTTGTTACCTTCTCATAAGCTTTTCGTTTTGTTTCAGAGTCCATCCAGTCATTTTCCTTTTCCAACATGTCAATGAAAGCCCAGCGAATTCCTTCGGTCAACTCCTCCATCTGCAAAACATTTGACAAACCTCTCTCCAGTAAAATATGTCTCAGCAGAATCATTATAAGAAAAGGTTTGATGCATGCAGAAGTGATGGATTTGGCTAGAACATTATTGACTCCAAATCAGGCAGTATCTGCTAATCTGTCTTGAAGGCTAATTTCTTCTTTCTCCAGTCCTTAGACACTGCTTCTGAAAATAAGTTTATTTTCATTTTCTTTTCCTTCAGGTGTACAACATGTTTGTCATAAAAAATACTGGGAGTTTTGCAGTGATCTGGGGAGATTTTTGACACTTTGATTCTAGATCACTAGCCCATCAGAAGAAGGAGCTGGCTGTAAGGCACTTGTACAAATAAAGCCTTTTCTGCAGAGAGAGAATCTGGAGCCTTGATTGGTTTATATCAGACTGAGACATGCCTTATTAATACTGCCAAATAACTGAATTCAGGCTGACAGTATCATGGCCCAAATACAAAGCAGTATCCAAATATTTAACCCATATTTAGCTGTATTTGTGAAGTATTTCTGTCCTTTGCTTACTCTGCAGGGACAGAGGCCACTGCTCACAACACCGAGCAGCCTTAGCTGCTTCTGTGGCCTTGAACCACCAGTGACAGCTTGCACTTGTGGAAAGCTAGGAAAAACCACAACCATTTCAGCTTGGCTGCTTCTCCAGACAACTATGCAAAGCCAGAAGTATATCACAAGAAAGTAAAAAATAAAAATAAAAATAAATAAAAATAATAGGAGTGTTTAGTGAGTATGCACAATAAGAAAACTCTGAAATGACAGAAAGCAAGAAATCTAATTACTAAGAGGTGCATTATAGCAGTATAAAGAGCAGAAATGCCCTCATGTCTATGCATCTGTCTGACAGCACAGATCAGAAAGATGTATTCAATCAGCTGCTTCTATTTATATTAATAGATGAGCCTCATGACAGATAGCCACCGAGAATACTGTGAGAGTGAGGCAATTTGGGGGATCCAGCCATCACTGGAGTCTTTTAGCACAGACTAAACCAGAGCTAAGATAGCACAAAACATGACAGATAATCATTACATGAAGACTTGTTGGATCTGTGTTATCAGTTACCTTACATTTTAAAATAATGAAAATGTCAAGTACCAGAGATTTATATTATTTTATTCTATAGATCAGGTAGTTCTAAAATGTCATTACAAATGGGAACTAAACCCTGGAAAGTAACATTATCTTTAGCTAAATTGTCATTTATTTATGAAATGTATATTTTAATCTGGAACTGCTCTTAATTGGTGGAGGAGCCAGACAAAATATAGCAACACTTCTTTGATTATTCATTTTTTCCTCCCCTTTTCAAATACCATTTTCTTATTTTTAGAGACAAAATGGGGCAACCAAAAACTGTCTAGCATTAAATATGACTAAACAGTCAACAGTCTCAGTAAACTGCATCCTAGGGAATAGGGTAACTTAAAGATATTGATGACAGAGCACTGACTCAATTAACTTAGTGCACTAATGAGGTGAACTCCCTGTATTTGGAGGTTGCAAGTTCAAACTAAAGCTCTGCAGCTGGCCCCTGGTGTATGCTTAGGCTTTATGCACCAGCTGTAGCTGCAGGGGGCGGGGGGAGAAACCTATTCCTGCTATCAAAGTTATTACTGAAATTGTTCAGGCATAGCTCTAAGAAACACTGCAGGCACTCTGCGTTAGAAACAGTGCTATATTTAGACACAAATAATGTCTTTCTTGATAAGAGGAGAGAAGTATCTAAGGTATGAAACACCAGTGATGAAACACAGGAGAAAAAGAATCCATATTATCCATTACTCAGGATTTGCTTATCACAGACAGAGATATGCCATAAGCCAGGAAAAAAAAAAAAAGCAAACAACAACTCAAAATTGTACAAATAAGAGTGCTTCTCTCAAGTGCTTTCTTGCTGTTTAAGAAAGAGAAATAGAACTGAAAACCAGTGAAATGAAAACGGTAACACCACAAATTATTAACTTGAAAAGCACACTTTTCAATGCATTGCAACCAATTTCACCTGTATCTAATTTTATCTCCATGGGAAGCTCACTGTAAGCCTCAATCTTGTGATCTACGCTATACATTTTATATGCATCTCTTACAACGGATGCCACTGTGAGCTCAGACTTGGTAATTTTTCAACAATTTGGTCTGAAAGGAATGTACATGTTAAGAAATACTGCAATTAGGTTACATTTTGAGATAAACTTATCATAGAATCATAGAATCTTAGGGGCTGGAAGGGACCTCGAGAGATCATCTAGTCCAACCCCCCTGCCAGAGCAGTGTCACCTAGAGTACATCACACAAGAACTCATCCAGGTGGGTTTTGAATGTCTCCAGGGAGGGAGACTCCACAACCTCCCTGGGCAGTCTGTTCCAGTGCTCTGTCACTCTTACAGTAAAAAAATTTTTCTCTGTCAGCTTCTCATAATTTTCCCCCACATATACAAACATGAAAAAATGTTCATCTCCTCCATAAACTGTACATTTCCTATAGTCCTCTTCCTGATTATCCTGCACAGAGGTAATAGTTTGTAATATCCCAGAAATATTTTTGCCACTAAGCTGACAAATAGCACAGTCCAAACTCGATCAAGAAGCAGGGGACTGAAAAGCTGGATATCAGAGAGGGAACTCCAGCTGAGGGCACATAGCCGAAGAAATGCCGAGCCTGAGAGGGAAACACATATCTCAAAGATTTTAACAAGCCAAATCAGAGTGTTGGTCTGTCTAAAATGGAGTCCTTCCCTGAGAAAACAGTCAGACTAGATAATGTCAAACAGACAAACTCGGGCTACTGAGTCAGGGTAGTGCAGGACTATCACAGAGCTGTCACTCACAGTGCAGGATGTTATTTCACGTTTCCTAAATTGTTGTGCCTGTCCTGTGCTGAAAGCTAAGTTCAACAACTAAATTAGTTAATTTTAAACTGATTGCTGTTGGAAAATGAATGGCTGGAACAGTAGACATTGGAAAACCCTATAAGAAAAATGTGAACTGAAAATAATGAATTCTTGTGAAAGGCAATTAATCATTTGAATATGTTATTAGCAGCAATGATAATGTAGCTATGTTTGAAGTTTTAGAATGAGGGTGAACATCCAGATATTCTTTGTAATCTGCAGCATGGACTAATATTTTCCTTCAATGTTGAGCAAAAAAGATTCAAGTAACAAATACAAATTCTCACTATGCCACCCTAAGCTTAATTTGGCCTGTCCCTTAATTTGAGCTGGACATCAGTTACACTTTACTTGCTTAGACTACAGGTTTAATACAGTCAGCTTTTAAATGGTCATCCTGAAGCAGAGAGATTTATATCAGTCAGTAAATCTTTAGTATAAAGAGTTATATTAGCTGTACTAAACCATTTCTCAATGATACCCCTCACTCTGTTCCTGCACAACCTGGCTGTCAGTATTTAAAGAAATGAGTGGTATTCAGCCTGTCTTTGATCTGGCTACTTATTTGTCTGAAAGGCTGCATATAGAAGGAATGGGCAGTGCCTAGTTGGACAGAAAGGTGATATTTCTTCAAATTTGTTCCATTTTCTCTTTGTCACTTTTTTTTTTTTTTTTTTTTTTAATTCAATTACAGCATTTTAAATATTTTTTTTCTCCTTTTAAACTTTGGTCTAATATCAGAGGCAATTTGTGAGGAAGAAGCTACTAATTCAAAGTTTCTAGGTAGATATCTCAAAGGACTCACCATCTCCTTCTTGTCTTCTTGAAAATGGGCATTCACAAACATCTTACCCACAACATAGGGGAGAGCACTTTCAACGAGGTCCACACATTTATCCCACTGAGGCAGCAAAGTTGTGGTTCCATGGATCACCTGTTGGAAGGTGCATGAAGTAGGTCATAACATACTGTTCAAGAAGAACATATCTGCATCCACATACAGTATACTCTAAAGCTTATTTGTCAATTAGCTACCAAAAGGAAACAATAATGATACTTTATGATTATTGCTATTTTCATCAAGTGATGTGACAAGTCTTTTGAACTCCACTAAATAACTGTAAGATTTCAGGTTTAGAAACAGTACAATGGTAATCTCTCAGAAAGGCTAGGACTAGAGGGTTAGTTATAGGAAGACATTCCCAAGTGCCAATTTTAGACTACTCTTGATAGTCGTTCTGTTAAGTAGACAGACACTTTCCTCTGGAAAATCCCTCCTCTGAGATATTTCCTGGAAAAGTTTCCCTATATCCACTGACTCAGTGAGAAGCCTGGGAAGTCAACCCTCATGAAAATTAGGTTAGTCCTTATGAAATACCTGCTACAGAGCCCTCCACTGTCATTAATTTATCTGTGCTAACTAATGGCTAATATTGGTAGGAATGGGTCAACATTTTTTGCCATTTACCTACTGGCTACTACTACCACAGCCTGTTGCTTTAAGTCCCTTTCCCAAACAGAATATTTTCAGAAGCAAACAGGTTTGAATCATCAAGAACACTGAACACTGAAGACGTGTTTCTCCCCAAAATAGAAATATGTTGGTAGAAAAGGGTGCATATTTTGCTAAATGAATGGTGGCTAAATACATATGTCTAGGCTCTGATGATGTCCCTGCACCACCATACATGAGATTCAAAAGAAAAATAGTCAAGAGTGGTCAACATGCCAATGAACAAGGTAAAACAGAGCTCAAGCTCTTTTCTGCCTTGGTTTCTTCTTCTCACACTAAGAATGTTTGTTACCACAGATGCTTACCCAGTTAACTGGTAGAAGTTAATGATTTTTAAAAGTACACACAGCAAAATATGAGATGGGTCCATGTAAGCAATAGCCATGCTGATTTAAGAAACTTTTTTTGTGTCCAAGTTTCAAAGAGTTCCCCTTCCACTTAAGGAACTCCTTGAGCTTTTCCACAGAAAAGAAGCAAAATTCTAGTCCAGAAGTTAATGCCTATGAGCTGAGCAAATGCAGAGCACAGTCCACACCAGACCAGGTTGGGTGGGCTAGGAATTTTGGCCTCCTACAGATTATACAAGCCTCTTAAGCACTGATCTTGTAGTTTCTGAGCCTCTTCTTTTTCCTTCTCCTCCTTTGAGCCCAAGATTAAATTTCTAGCAAAACTGAAGGGTTTGGATTTGTTGTTTTCAAATAAGAAAAGATTTCACTGGAAAATTCCAGACTAGCTTAGCCCCCAGCTATTGAAGGTCAGATATTCTGGCAGTTCAGAGATTGATTTTCTCCATCATATTGTCTGTAATTAAGCTTAATCAATGACTCATACTTAAATACACCAGTGAATTGCATTTTCAAATGCTTTTTATTAATACTGTATGTGCACTCATAGATTTTCAATGGCAGAGAGAATACTGCTTCTGTAAGAGAACAACATTGGCCAAACCAATACATAATAAGGCAGTAGTTTCCTCAACAGAGCCAAATTTGAGAAGAACCCCTTTTCCAAATTCTTCAACCCTCATATATAACACAGGATCATAAAAAGAAAAAAAAAAAAAAAAAAGAGAGAGAGAGAAAAAGAGAGAAGAAAACTGCTCTTCAGGGTCCAAGCAAAACCACAGTGGAGTTTTTTCCTAATGCAGGGGAAGAAAGGAAGTCATGGCATTAGTCATCAGACTTTGAAATTCCTTCTGAAAGCTCTGACTACGAATCAGCCACAGAAAAAGTCAGGAGACAAAGCTGGCTTTTAGACTATGACATATTATTACTCCAACATAATAATTATCATTATTTTGAGGGAGGCTTGACTGTAAGGAGGACAGAAAGGCAGCACAAGCTGTGAGGCCAGTAAAAATAGAGCTGAAATAGATTATATCTCACAGCTGGTTTATTGATATTTATGTTACAACAGCCAACTAGAACTCCCTCAAAATGCTCCTCCTAATATTCATGCGCTACTCTAAAACACAGTACGCCAGGTAGTAACAGTGACTATAAATAGCAGGTTTCAAGCCCTCCCAGTCAATTCAGAGCTCCACAACCTAATTAACTGATATCTTCCCCAGGTGTCACTGCACAGTTGCTAGGACTCAAAGTGCCATTGCAGAGAAGCTGCTGATAGTTGCTGATGTGGTAATGAAAGCACTTTCTCTAGAGTTGGCAGGTTTGTGTTATTTCTCAACCCAAAGTTTTTTGAAGTTTCAGTATGTCTTTTTTCCTGTTTTTGCCAAGAGTTTAAGTGTCTTGATGCCAAGATGTCTACAGGAAAAATGTAAAAGACACCAATAGAAAATGAGAACCTGGTGAAAAAATACCACGCTTATGATGGATGAGGCTGACTGGTTAATGAATGAATGAATAACATATATTCTTTGCTCTAAGGGTCACGGATTCACCTCATGGTCATATGTTTTTAGTAGTCACATCATTCAATATTTTCTTAATTTACCTGGCAAGAGGTTGGTGGGCCCTTTTTATTATCCCAAATGATCTATGTGCCTTTAGTCCTGCAACCCACGCTGGACAAATCTGTTCAAGAAGACCTTTGCCTTGAACTCCATTTCTCATGTCCTTCTGCTGACTTGTGAAGTCTGTTCCCCTGAGTTGTTTACTGCGCTTAACTTTAGCTATTAACTACTAGCTATTGCTGTTTACTGCCCTCAGCTAACTCCATCTCCACGTCCTGGGGGAAGATAATGGGAATAGAATGCCAGGTTGGAAGGGACCTCAAGGATCACCTGGTCCAATCCTTCAAGGTACTACTACAGTTTGTTATGGCTCAGCACCCTGTTAAGCTGAGACTTCAAACTGTCCAATACGGGGGAATCCACCACTTCCCTTGGGACACTATTCCAATGTTTAACTGTCCTCACGGTGAAAAATTTACCTTTGGTGTCCAACCGGAATCTCCCCAGGAGCAACTTGTCCACATTACTCCTTGTCTTTTCTCTGTGACTTCTTGTAAACGGGGAATCTATGTCTTCTTGGTAGCCACCCTTTAAGTACTGGAACATAGTAATAAGGTCTCCCTAAAGCCTTCTTTTCTCAAGGCTGAACAAACCCAGTTTTCTCAGCCTCTTCTCATATGGCAGATCCTTCAGTCCTCTGATCATCCCTGTGGCCCCTTTTCTGGACCCTCTCCAGCCTCTCTGCATCCTTTTTGTAGAGCGGGCACCAAAACTGAACACAACACTCCAGGTGTGGTCTGACCAGGGCTCAGTAGAGCGGGATGATGACTTTATCTCTGCTGGTGATGCCCTTGTTGATGCAGCTGTTGGTTTCTTTGCCACTCCAGCACACTGCTCACTCATATTGAGCCTGTTATTCACCAAGACTCCCAGGTCAATTTGCACAGGGCTGCTCTCTAGCCAGGTGGATCCCAGTCCGAACAACACTCCTGGATTATGTGTTCCCAGGTACAAGACCTTACACTTCCCCCTGTTGAACTTCAAAAAGTTTCTGCCTGTCCAGGTCACCCTGGAGTGTCAACATCTCCACTCATCTTGGTGTAGTCAGCAAACTTTGCTGGGGTGCTCTTGACCCCAGCATCCAGGTCACTTATGAAGATGTTAAACAGCATTGGACCCAATATCAATCACTGGGGGACCTCACTTGTGACCGGTTGCTAGTTTGAGGATAGTTGAGTACTATCACCCTCTGGGTATGGAATGAGCTGCTGACTCATGGCTCTGGGCTGTTCTGCTCATCAAGCCACTTTCTACCATTTATGAGCAGTCCTGGCTGACTGGGGAGGTACCAGCAGATTGGAAATCAGCCAGTGTAAACCCCATACACAAGAAGGGACAGAAGGATGATCTGGGAAATTACAGGCCTGTTAGTTTGACTTCAGTACCAGGGAATCTGATGGAGCAGACAATCCTGAGTACCATTATGGGGTACATGCAGAACAACCAGGTGATCAGGCCCAGTCAGCATGGGTTCATGAAGGGCAGAACTTGTTTGACTAACCTAATCTCCTTCTACGACAGGGTGACATATTGGATGAGTGAAGGGCTGTAGATGTTTTCTATCTCGACTTTAGCAAAGCTTTGACAAGGTTTCCAACAGCATTCTCCTAGAGAAGCTGGCTACTCATGGCTTGGATGTTCACATGCTTTGCTGGATAAAAAACTGATTGGATGGCCAGGTCCAAAGATCTGTGTTTAATGGAGATAAACCTAGTTTGCAGCTGATCATGAGTGGTGTTCCCCAGGGCTCAGTGTTGGGGCTGCTCCTATTTAACATCTTCATTGATGACTTGGATGAGAGGATAGAGTGCACCCGCAGCAAGTTTGCAGATGAGACTAAGTTGGGTGGGGCAGGGAGGCTCTGCAGAGGGATCTGGACAGGCTTGACTGACGGACCAAGGCCAGTTGCATGAATTCCAATAAGGCCAAATGTTGGGTCCTGCACTTGGGCCACACCAACCCCCAGCAGCACTACAGGCTTGGGGAGGAGTGGCTGGAGAGCTGCCCAGCAGAGAGGGACCTGGGAGTGTTGGTTGACAACCAGCTGAACATGAGCCAGCAGTGTGCCCAGGTGGCCAAGAAGGCCAACACCATCCTGGCCTGCATCAGGAATAGTGTGACCAGCAGGACCAGGGAGGTCATCCTGCCCCTCTACTTGGCCTTGGTGAGGCTGCACCTCAAGCACTGTGTGCAGTTTCGGGCACTGCAGTATAGGAAGGACATTGAAGTGCTGGAGAGGGTGCAGAGAAGGGCAACTAAGCTGATCAAGGGTCTTGAGAACCAGACTTATGAGGAGAGGCTGAGGGAGCTGGGGCTGTTCAGCCTGGAGAGGAGGCTGAAGGGAGACCTCAATGCTTTCTACAACTACCTGAAAGGAAGCTGTGGTGAGGTGGGTGTTGGCCTCTTCTCCCTAGTGACCGGTGATAGGACTAGAGAAAATGAGGTCGAGTTGCACCAGGGGAGGTTCAGATTGGATATAAGTAAAAATTTCTTCATAGAAAGAGTGATGAGGCATTGGAACAGGCTGCCCAGGGAGGTGGTGGAGGCACCATCCCTGGAAGTGTTAAAAAAAGGGGTAGATGTGGTGTTTCAGGAGATGGTTTAGTGGCCAGAGGTTGTAGGGCTGACAGTTGGACTTGATGATCTTGAAGATCTTTTCCAACCTTGACGATTCTATGATATTGTTAATAAGCATTGAATAAACTTAAATTAGTTTCCTCCCTAAGCTTATAGAGAAAGCACCTAGAGAAGTGACATCAGCTAGTTAACACATCAAAATGCACAGTATCCAAAGCTTAAAGTTTCCTCCCAGGAGTTTTTCTGGCTATAATATAACTCAGCATTATGCTGCAGTCTGGCAGATGGCCAGCACCAGTCTATTTTACTGGGCTAGCAAGGAGTGTCCCAATAGGAGACACACTTACAAACTTGTTGCTGTGGTTCTGACAGCCAGTTTCTCACATTTTTGCATGTAGAAAATGGCATCTTTAACAAGACTGATTGGAATATCATTTCAGAAGTATAAGAGACAGCCTTTCCTGTGTAGTTTCCAACAAGCTGTTGAAGTTTATTTTTAGGTGTGTGATCAACACAGAACTATTCCAGTACTACTCAGGGAAAGACATTCTAGGTGCCACCTGGGTGGTTCACCAGGGAGCACAAAGCACTCACGCCTCCTGTACTATATCAGTGGCAGCATCATTCCAGCCTCCTGTTGTCATGATGTCACCAAGCAGCTAATTTTTATCATGACAGAAAAAAAGTTTTCCATCAAAATTGAAGTGTCTTGGAAACAACTTATGTTTGCTTAAAGAGCCCTCACATTGCCCACTGGATTATCAGGGTAACTTTCTATTCAGGATTCACTTAATCAAATATATGTATTTTACATAAATGCCCATATTACTTAATAAATAATTAGTTCTGCTTTCATAGCTTAAGGCAGTGATTAATGTCTTCTGGGGTTTCTGGAACCCCAAACTGGAAGGCACCTGATTAGCTTTTCTGTGGAAATGGCTGGCATATGGATGTGCTAGAGCTCATGAAAGCTGGCACTAGAGCACAAGAGAGGTTTAAGCAAATTTAGAAAAGCTGAAGTCTTAGACTTTTGTTTTACCAGAGCATGCATGTGTAAACATCAGTTTTTTAAAAAATCTTAGATTTTGGCTGAACAGGTTTGGCTGGCAGGAACAGCACAGGTCACAGCGCTGGCATGTAACTCATAAACTTTCCAGCTTTCAAGTTTCTGCATAAGAAGACTCAGATTTTTAAAGGGGAGTTCTCAAGAACTTCTTAACATAAGACATTATGTCTAAAAGACATTTTGTTGTTAGGATCATATACAAGCATATGTATGTCTTATTTGTTTGAGAAGGAGTCTTCAACAAAAAAAAGGTTATTCAAGAAATTTATCCAGCTTGGAAAATATTTCCTGTTTTGCACAGGTATAAGCAACTAAAAGGGAAACCAATAATGTCAACACTAGTGCCATTGTAAATGCTATAAAAACATCAACTTACCCGAGAAAATTCCAGCCACCGATACTGAAAACGTCTACTGAGGTTAAATAACCTTGAATAAACCATCCTCCACACCAGATAGTTGGCAAGAGTCCTGTTAAACCAGATATATCTTTATCAGACATTGAATGCATATGATGTGATAAAAAGCACGCACAGAAATAATCTCTACAAGCATTTCATCTGAATGGTGGAAATGTCACCTTGAAAATTAATGAGTGATGACAAAATTGATTAAAGAATCTGGAGGATTGCAACCAGTTAATATGTAATTGTATCATGATAGCCATATTGTAGGGGATATTTCTAACGATTACGTGTATGCAATTTTTAGGAAACACTTTTTTCAAAAGACAGTTTTCATTTTCCATAGAAGTGGTAAGAACTGTGTGATAATAATAGTTGCATAAAAGTTCTATCTAGAGATAAGAAAATAACTGATTTTTGTTTTATAAATCAAAGTGAATGTTATCTTTCCTCATTAGTAGGGCACATAAATTGTAATTATGAAACAGAATAGATAACAGTCCATCCCATTTTTGCTATCATTATCACATTTGTATTTTTCATTAGAAGTTATCCATATGCTTTCAAAAGTTCTAACTACCCACAGAGTTATTAAAGTATTACCACTTTTATTTTGCAGATGGGTAATTGAAATACCAAAAAAGAGAAGTCTCAGTAACAAGAATCTTATAAGAACTGAGGCTGAGAGATCCAGAAAGAACTTGTTTAAAATTTCCAGGAGACCTGACATCCATGCCCCTTTTCTGAAACTTCAGTCATCTGACTAGAAGATTTGTCTAGTCTAGAATGAGCTCTTTTCATGCTCAGCAGTGGCTGCATGAGGTAAAAGTATACAGTGAAACATACAATTAAACTACAAAACAATCTCAAAACAAGTCCAATAATGGTCTACACATTATTTTCATCTGGTCTTATAGATGACATTTTTCAATGATAGTCATTGCTCTAAAGCTATGGATATCCAAATGCAGTTAGGTCTACACTGGGGTATACAAAGCATTTTGGGTAGGCCATAGATTTTTCCACAGGGAGGAAAATTGCTCCTTTGCAAGTGAAGATGCTGTTACAGACCATCTGAACAACTGCCTCATCTCTAAAAATCCCATTTCTGCAATCTCCCATGGCCATAGTTGTGGAGCAGTGTGGCTGTTGCTACGGTGTCATTCCATTATCTTCATTCACAGACACATCCCTCCTCTGAATCGTAACAGACTATAAACATATTTTCTGGCCATGTTGTGTTCACAATACAATTCACCTGAGCCATAACTTGAGGTTTTCCTCTAACGAAGCTCCAGTCCACCCACACAAAGCCTCTAGCTCAAGACACATTATTTGCTAGAAGCTTACACTTTTGGTCATTCAGCCAGGGAGGAGAGGAAGAGGTGAGAAGAGAGAGGTTTAAGGCAGGCTATAGCTACATATTGTCTATTAGTGACTGAGCTGACCAACCAGTAGCTCCAGCAGCAGCACACATCCAAATGGGACTCTACCCCAAGAGCAGATAGGTGGCTGTGCACTCTCCATGGGCTGGCTGAGATGTGCTTGGGGGACTAGTCGGGCCCAGCAGTCAGTGGCCAGGGAAGGCAGGCACCCTGCAGTGCTGCTGGATTTGGCTGTCCCTGCAGGCTGCTCAGCTGAACTGAAGCTAACACAAGTGTTCAGACTAACACAAACCTGCACAGCAGTTGAGCATCCATGGCAGCCTGGGCAAAAGTCTGCTTTACTTTTCAGTGGAGTCTGCATGTGCTTGGAGGTCAGAAATATGGTCCTGATTTCACACAGGAAAATTTGAGGGTGCAATCTCAAGCCAACTGTCACTTCAAAGGCCTGATATTCCCTAGTCTTTGTCACCAGCAGCAGCTTCTACAGGGAAGCAGAGAACTGCTGTGATTTATAAGTCCTGCCTTTTATAGTCCTTCTCATCTTTCACACTGGGCATATTCCCTCTTTTAGTATACAGATTTGTCATGTAGTAGACATAAATCCCCGCAGCAATCGTAAAACATATCTGAAATAAGCTTTTTAGCATGAATAATGCACATTTTTAACACAGTACATGTTACAAAAGCCAAAACCAGTTAGCTCTGCCTAGATGATCAAACCATATTGAGATAGGGTCATTAAAAATTCATTCCAACTTATAAAATACCGAAAAGCATAGATTTCCCCCTTAACACCTTTCTGACAATGTGCAATTTCCTCACTCAATGGCAAATGAAGCATTTTAGAAGTGCTCAGGTCTCACTGGTTTTGTAAATTACTTGAACTCCACAGGCCCCACAACTGCCTCAGGAATTTCAGCAGAGCTAAACAGCACCCATGCTCCAGCAGTAACTACTCTGTGGATCTAAATGAGAATTTATCCAAGTCCTACAGCTTGAAAGGTTTAAAGATTTTATTTCCAAAAAAAATCTTAGCTAAATAGACCAATCATAAACCAATTATGTGTTACAATTCAGTACTTAATTGCTACCAAAAAATCAATTCTCTCTTCTGTGTGTTCATGTGGCAGTGTTTCTCCTTACATTTGAGGAAGCTCTGTCAAACTGGTAGTCAAAGAAAGAATTTTGAAGCTCTGTCAAACTGGTAGTCAAAGAAAGACTGAAATTTGCAAAGGGTAAGTGGCAAAGAAGTAACTTATTCAAAGACACTAATATCAGTGGGAATTCAAAAACTTCCATACCAGTCATAATAACAAAGTCAGTTTCAGGAAATATACCACTATTAATTGAGGTTTGGTTTAATTTGGAAAGGAAAAGAAGGCTGAAATGTCCTAACATAGAGCTGCCCGATGAGATTGTAATAATTCCTGATTGTAATCACATTAGAATCCACTGATGCATACAATACTTAAAACAACATGAAAGTTTTTCTTCAAAGCCCAGAGGTATGATATTTGCAGGGAGGGGACATAATGGGGGAAAGCTTGAGGGATTTTGTTGTTAGTCTGAGGGGCAGCATTCTTTATTTTGTTCTTCAAAACAAAATAATATTATATCTGAGTTTGTTTCCCTATTTTGGTGATGGTCATTTTGCATTTTTGGATAGCTATAGAAATTTAAAATCAGTTGCTTGTCCTAATTTGGTTTAAAAACTGACACTTTTGATTAGGAAATGCCCTTAGTACGTATCTTGGGGTGATTTTCGTTCCAGTTTCACGAAAAATTTCACTAAGGCTCAGAGAAGTTAACCTCTCTATATAGCAAAATCCAACTCACAAATAAAACATACAAATCCTCTCTGCTCTTTTGATGAGACCACAGCATTTGTCGTAGCCTTTCAGAAGGGTGCAGTACACAGGTCTCTACTTTAACTTAAAAATGACTATAGCAGAAAGAAGTGTAGGCTTACTCTTAACCAATATGACCATTATTGTGATGCACACTCCCAAAAGAAGTAGTTGAGAGCTTGTTTGCTGGGACAGTTAGAATTATACCAGTGCTTGTGAATATCTACTATGGAGCTCTCTACCATGTCTGAGATAAAGTAGGTTGCTCATATACAATTCTGTGAGTTTGTAACATTTTAATCAACACAGTGGCAATTAAAGAGGATAGATTTAATATGAGATAGATGGACAAATTAATTGACATTTTAAGAAGTTCCCTTCCACAATCCTGAGATCTGTTTGAAAATTGTATTTAGAGTGGAGTTATGAATCAATTTATAAGTACTGAAAAACTTCTGCCTCTATTGCTAGAGGCACTAGTTCAAGTCAAATTATTGTAACCTCTCTCTCTAATTTTTCAAAGGCAGGCTAAGATCAGAAAGGAGATCTAGAGCTCCCATCCCCCTCTAAAGATAATTTCTCTTATGCTGCAGGAATTACAGAGTGCTTCTATACTAATTGTCCCATACTAGAAAGACTAGGTAAGGTAAGGCAAAGGAAACCAGTTATTCATTCTGACATCCCTGAGGATGGTAAAGCTGCTTCCTTCAACAGCTGCAGACATTTCCAACAAGGACATAATTCGCTGTATCTGATTTCTGACTCACACATAAAACACCAGCACATAAGTAAAGGGATTCACAGAATCACAGAAGTATCATGGTTGGAAAGGACCTCTAAGATCACTGAGTCCAACTGTCAAGACAAAATAAACCCCACAACCTCGGCCACTACAGCATGTCTCAAAGTACCAAATCTACACGACTTTTGAATATGTCCAGGGACGGTGACTCAACCACCTCCCTGGGCAGGCCATTCTGGTGCCTGGCCACTCTTTCAAGAGAGGAATTCTTCCTAATATCCAATCTAAACCTCCCTGCTGCAACTTTAGGCCATCCCCTACAGAGAAGGGATACAAGGGGCTGCTAACTAGTGCCAGAACAGTCTTGTCTGCCCCCCTACATGGCACAGCTGTGTTGGAGCCCTACTATTATCTCATTTATACCATAGTTACATCTGTATTTTCAATATGCATCTCTTCACACAACAGATACAAACTCCATTAAAAATTAGTTGGTACAGAAAAAAGCTGAAGGAATCCCTGAAGAGTCTTTACAAAGAAGGTGTGGCTTACTTCAGTACTTAACACCTGACATGACAGGCTAGCTAGCCCAGGGCTGATGGGAACTCCTGTAGGCTCAGCTGCTTGGGCAACTTCAACTTGCTACAGAGAGCCATGTTCCTGGCCTGAGCTCACAGCTGTGCCCTGGCTTGGGAATTTCATAGAGACCTCCAAACCACACCACTGCACGTATTTCAAGCTCCACACATTAATTTTATTATATGCAGCAGGGTTGTCAAGTAAATAATAGCCTTATTCTACTAAATTCACTCTACACCCTGCCAATATGCTATTTTCTAGTTACATTGCCATGTGAAAAATTTCACAATTCTAGATTGTTCAGCAGGTTCTCTGCTGCAGCAGTTTTTAATGTGGTGATTGTGAACCCGTACAACTTGTCACCTCCATCACAAGAACTGCTTCTGTAGCCAGACTTAATTTTCACTCCATTTTTCCTTCCACCTGAAACAAACTTCAGGGAGTACTTTGCCAGATAACTGAGCCATGAGACATCTTTTTGTGCCATTTTGAATAGTACCCGTGCCAGCAGGATACTCATCTGGTAAGTGTATGGGAATAAAAGTATAATTTAGGGATAGAAATGTTGCAATAGAAAAGAATACAAACTTGGTGAAAGTACCTGCTTCTCCAAATGATGTTGCATCTCCTGAAATGATGAGAAGTTAATTCATGTTCTAATCACTGAAGTAAATCTAAACTTTTGGAATGTTTTACTAGGAATTTCATTAGTCTCGTTATTTACTGCAACAAACCAAATTCATGTTGTTTGCTTCAATTTAACCTTTAAAATATCTTATGGAGAATGAGAAATGAGATTAGCTAAAAGAAAATACTCTTGATAAACTTTAAGAGTTCACCCTACAGATAAAATATGAAGACCTCATTCTTAGGAGTTCACATTAAGGTTATTTCCTAATGTTTTCAGAGGAGATAACAAGGTTACTTCTGGAGCAAACTATGACATTTTAAGAAATGAGCATTATCAAATAATAGATAAACATGATCTTTTCTATAATGCAGTGACTGTTTGGACGGATTTTACATACAAGAACTGCAAGTCTGCATGGGTTGAGTTTAGCAATCTATTTGCCATTTCTAATATTTTAATTATGCAAATTTCTCCTAAAGCCTAAAACATTGCCAGCTATAAAATATGCAGCCTGAATATACTGGAAATCAGACACTGCTTTTTTGCCCCCTACCCATCTCCCCTGACCTGTGGGGATGAGGGAGTTGGTCTTGAGCTTGGCTGAGGACAGGCATCACCATTCTTTCTGTTTATTACTCTGGCCTGCCTCTGCCATGACATACAGGCTGGCTTGACTTCTCTTGAACACTGAGGGAAAGATTTTCCATGAATAAGACTCTAACGGAGAAAGTCTCCAGGTATTTACTCCATAGTTACATAATATATTTGCAAATAAGTGTATTTGTACACAGGGAATAATTATTTCTCTGTGGGCTTGCTACATATGCATCCTCTAAATCACCACTTTATTTCCACTGACATAACTAACTTTATGAGATACAAAGCATGCACAGCCCAAACCATTTAGAAGGCTTCCTTCAGCAGATTAAAATTGGTGGTACAGTAATGACATTTATGTGAACATTATAAAGGAAGGATGTTTGATAATCTGTAGGCAGATCTACATGCTATTTTTCAGGTACTTTTAAGTAATACAAGCATTCTGTCACTGGAGGAACTGAGCAACAATATAAGAATAATGCTTCTGAATTAGTCTTTTTCTCTGAACTGTAAAGTTGGTTGTGGCCATACTGTGCAATCAGTAAAGAATTATTTTTGGAGACAACAGCCTAATGATATTTTTTTCAAAGTTCAGTAACATGCCTCAGCAGAGAGCAAATTATCAGAGAAGTCACTTAGATGTCATCAATCATGACATTTCAAAATGGGAAATCATCTTCAAGCACATTTTTTCATCACACTGCCTAGAGCTGTCTTGCTTCCATCTGCAAAGCACATCTACTATATTTAACCTGAGCTACCTGCATTTTACAACTATATTCTCCAGGTGTACATGATTTCACAAGATACAAGACCATTTACAAGTAAACAATGCTGAATGCATCTGTAAAAAGCAGTTTTATTGCAACCTATTTTTTTTGGTTAAAAAAGGTGTTGAAACTGCAAATTCTCCTGTTACACACAAGCTAGTATTTATATCCTCATTCAGACACAACCAAGCAGACCTTTAGGCTAAAGGCTTGATTCCAATAATATCTAAAGCACCTGAAAAAAACCCAAGAAAATCCCAGTATTTGATGTGCCCTCATAAGTGTGGTCAAACCATCACACGATTCTTACTTTTTCCTTTCATTTTCTAGTATTCTGAATAAATCTTTGAAGTATTGGGGAACACGGACAATCACATTTTCTGAAGGACCTATATCTTTGAGCTCAGGATAGAGTCTGGTGTCAATCACTTTCTTGATATATCCCAGCCAGTCAAACTGCAATGACAAAGAGAAGGCTGGTTAAAGTGGATTATGAAGAGAGATGATTTATTAATGAAGTTGCACCTTTGAGACTAATGGCTTCAAAGCTTTACTTTTTAATAATTAAGAAACTATTGCACTTTGTTATTACACATTTTCAAACCTCAGTATTTAAAAGAACGTATATTGTAATTGAGTACGCAAGTTCCTAATGATATTCCTTTAACATGCTGGTCTGCATGATAAAGGCAATTCTAACTATCTAGGTCAAACATTAAAAGAATAATTTTGCAATTATTCCCAAACAAACCTGTGGAATCATGGCACTAAGCTCTGATATGTTCATTTTATTGTACATCACCTCACTTGTTCGATTTTCATATGGAATCATGATCTGGGGAAAACAAAACAACAACAAAAAAATCATCAAAACAAGGATTTTCTTGGAGGGACCTGCTTTTACCATTACTATCATCACCTCACTTGTTCGATTTTCATATGGAATCATGATCTGGGGAAAACAAAACAACAACAAAAAAATCATCAAAACAAGGATTTTCTTGGAGGGACCTGCTTTTACATCATTACTATCCATCATAATCCCAGTGCAGAAACTATCTCACCACCTGTTTTCCAAGCATTCATGACATTAACTTCCCTTTCTGTACATGGCATTTAGCTATGAGAAATAGAACACAGTTCATTAACAGTGTAAATAATTTTTTATGAATGTAATGAGCTGCATGTCTTTTTGAACATATTAGAACAATTTTTGCTCTGACTATATACATGTTGATTCATAAGAGATAAAACACACCTAGACCATTAGTATTTATTCAACCCATCATGTCTGGTAGAAGACAGCTCCAAATCGTATGGCTAAAAAAGGTCAAATCTGAGATAGGTATATGCTGAAAGCACATGTTATCTCTTGGATTTGAACATGTTCTTTCTATGGCCTGACTCCATCTGAGGCAGGAGTCAGATACACCCAAATTTCTTCTCATTTTACCCCAGCATCCTGATTTCCATAGCACAAAATCTGGGTATATGGGCCAGACATTATTAAAAGTGTTTTCCAGCCAGGCCTCTCATCTGGACAAACGGAGAAGCCAGATCTCAGGATCCCCTGCAGTGTCAAAGTCCAATGACATAGCAAAAGAAATCCTAAATATAGCACAAGTCCTTTCATAAACCCTTCAGAAGGTCCTTTATATGGACCTTCAGACTCCAAGATGTCAGTATGGCTCATAGTAGAAAAAAACTAAACAAGTTCAAGATATAGCTCAAAATTCTCTCAGTGTTCGTGAGGAACAAGAATTCCTGATGGAATTCCAGCCCCACTCTAAGATAAATCCCATACAACAGGCTGCTGTATTCTGTGCAGTTTAAAGAGGAGAGAGGTTGACGCCAGACTAACCAGACACCTGGCAGGTCTCCAACCAAAATCCTCCAGTGTCTGCGGTTTTACTATTGCTCAAGCCATACAGAACAAAAAATTTAAAAAAATAAAAAATCTACTTTCTTCTCTCCCTCTGCAAATTTCATTTATCTGACAAAACTTTCAACTCTTCCTGAACCCGTGGTCCCTTCCTCAAAACTTTCTCTCTTTCTCCATTAATGTAAACCTACTTGAATACTTCCTTGTACACAATAAGCTCTCTCAAGGCATGTCACTCCTTCCTACACCCAAAGCATCTTGCCTTTAGTCTTGTTGTCTTGAGCACACAAGTTCTTGATTAAGTATGTTCACTTAAAATGAACACAGGGGAGCACAGGATACGGTGAAAGCCCAAGTAAAAAACAGGACTATTTCCTTTAAAACAATGGTAACTTTTTAATATGATTCATGGTGTTCGTTAGAGATCATGTACCTCGGTTCATGCCTAATATCTGGATACATTTTAGGAGGATTATTCATACTAAAGGGAAATCAGGTAACCATGAGCAAGTATGGCTCACTGCATAATGGCATGCATTATGGATCCTGAAGGCTGTTATATGATCCATGTCATCTTATATGACAACTTCACCTATATACTTTGTGGGTTAAAGCTCTGTAAGATATTCAGTAAATAAAGCACTAAAGCTACCAGGGGTAGCAGTGCATCTTCATATCACATTACTGATAAACAGAAGAAGCATTTCCTGTTTTCCAGGTGTACTGGATCAAAAGAAATTATCTGCTCATTAGCTCACTCTTGGGCTTTGTTTAGAGGTCTGGCAATACTTCATCTCCTTTTTCAGCAAAGAGATGCAAACACTGATTTACTACTGTTGTGGATGGCTCTCAATTCTGCACATGAGCACCATTAAAGAAGCATCACTGCCTTTCCTCTTGTAGATTACAACAAAAGAACCAAGGGAAAAGTAATTTTCTGCTGCATTACCTATCCTGGGCAACAGGCTGCTCTGTTAACACGACACCCAGCATTTCCCAGGGGATAGTGAGAAAGATAGTTTCTTTTTTTGGTAATATGAAGAAACTCTCAGCTCAGGTGGCAGTTCTGAAAATCAGTGTCAAGTCTGAAGCCCTAACTTTTGCTGGTTTCCCGATGTTAAGGCTAACTCTCTCACTTTGGAGGAAGAGAAAGCAATAGAGGATTTAGAGCACCTAGGAGCAGGATTCCTGCAGTATCCGTACTGAGACAGGGATGTGTGAAAGAAGAAATGGTCTTTCTGCCTGCAAAAGTCCTAATACCCCATGAAGGGGCAAAAAATGTTGCCAAGTAAATTGGTCAAAACTGAATGTTAGATTTAAATCTGCTTAGCTTTACTAAGTTCATTTGGTTCCTAAACAAACACTTCATGGAGTTTCTCATCCCCTCTTCCAGGGTAGCCAGTGAAAGCAGCCCAGGGGCTAACTGTGGTGCTACTGTAACCGCCGCCCCGTCTACCTACCAAATGCCAATATCCCACCTCAGTCTTGCACTGCTTTGAAATTCTCTGTTCTTCAGAGAATCAGCCTGGTCTGCTTCTTGAATAGATACACATGCATTAACAACAAAGCTTTACAGCAGGGACTCCAATTCTGCCCAAGCTCAAAATTAAAAAATATTTAAAAGGGACGGAGGGTATCTGGCTAAGTTTTTTCCCCATGAGAATAAACAGTTTAACAATTAACTAAGGAAGGAAAACTGTCCATCCTTTCCTTATCAGTATCTGCTTCTTTCCTTCTATTTCCAAAAAACACCATTGCTAAGGCTGTTAATATTAGAAGGCTTTCAATTTTGAAACAGGATTGCCTTTTTTTTTTTTTTTTTTTTTTCAATTAGTTTCAATCCCATCCCATTAAATTACCAACCTCAGCTATTTTAACTTCCAGTTTTAGAACTGACTTCATATCAGATTCGGCTCGTGAAGCGTTAGCACCCAGGAGCACTGCTGTATCCACCATGAACTGCAAAAAAGCATCTCGGTACTGCAAAGAAAAGAAAAAAAGAAAAAAAAATTCAGGAAAAAAGGGAAGTGACTACTGGATTTGCACTTCAGCACAGCTGTAGCAGTCAACCAGAAATGCACATCTGTGGCAATGGGTTGTACTTCTATGCCCTAGCAACCAAAGTTGTACTTCCTTACCTTGAATGCCTGCTGTCATCACGGAGAAAAGGACAGATAACACCGTAAACATACTGTGCATGACAGACAGAGATGCCCACTGTGGTTCACAAAGCATAAATCTCAGGAAATGCAAATGATCATTCCGGATTAGACTGACAACACTTGCAGAGGGATTAGAGAACGTGTATGAGTGTCAACCAGAATTTTACACAAACTCGTACAGTAATCAGTGCAGGGCTGAAGAATTGGCTGAGAAGATAGGGAGATAAAGGGGTGCTTCACTGAGCTCTCTCCTTTATTCCTGCCACAGCACTGCAACGCACATATGTGCTACAGTGCTCTGCTCTGCTCTCCCCAGGCTATCCTAGTAAAGCACATTTTAGTCTCAGCATGTATAGGCAAATGTTAGCAAAATACACTGTATGTAACAATACTGTAGTGATTTCTGTGCTACCTCCCTCCCAACATAATCGTTTAGAGATTTTGGAGAGATCAGATTGCTCCTCACCATTCCTATGAGCCTGCAGTCCAACAAAGCAAAAACATATTTGAGTGCATTTCCACTTTCAATCTTTTAGTAGATACAATTCTTTGTATTCTGGCATCATCTAGTCTGATAAATGTGGCTTAAAAAATGACTAACCTCTCTGGGAACTGACAAGGGAAGAAAAACTGTAAAATCTTAATCAGTAGCAAAGACTTGTCCTCCCTGACAACCGAAGTGGTTGTTTCTTTGAGCTTTCAGCTGCATATGCTGGATACTACCCACAGGCCTTCATCAGGTAAGGGGAAAAAGGAGTTGTCATTGTCAAATATTGATACATGAAAGCCTCTGACAAACATAATCGGCTCATGACTTCTATCCATAAAAAAGCAGCAAAACACTAAATTGTAGCAGAGAAATCATAAAGGAGGAGGAAAGAGGAAATGAATACTTGAAATCTTTTGAGGAACTCTTGTTCCCTTCAGTAGATGAAGGTGGCTTTTGAAATGTGTCCAGCCTTCTGGCCTGATTAAGCCAAAGATGCAGGCCCCTGGAGAGCAACCCACTGAGGCAGTCCATGGACATGGCAGTTTCTACACTCACTTCGTTGAGATGTTCTTGAGCCTCTGGGAACTTTGATCATAATCTGGGAACTCCTGGGGCCCTCCCTGAAAGACATGAGGACTCCTGATGCTTCCAGGTCTGGTAAAGGCTAAGGTGACAGTACGTCCAGCAGCTGCTAACAAACTGACAGCTGTGCTTGATCAGAGGGTACCCACGGCCTCTCTTCTAGCTGACTCCTAATTACAGAATCATAGAATATCTCAAGTTGGAAGTGATCCATAAGGATAACCGAGTCCAACTCCCTGCTCCTTGCAGGACTACCTAAAACAAAACCATGTAACTAAAAAAGTGTCATCCAGATGCTCCCTGAACTCTGACAGGCTCAGTGCTGTGACCACCTCCCTTGGGAGCCTGCTGCAGTGACTGACCACTCTCTCAGTGAAGGATGATTAGAGAAGGTCAAGCACCCTCTCAGCCCATGCCAGAGGGTGGCTGACATTAGACCCAGGCCCAGAGCACAGCTCCCAGAAGCTGTCATTAAATGCAGCACTTCACAGAAAAAAAGTCAGCAAACCTTGTCAGGCTCACCCAACCTTAGATATGGTGGTCACACCCCACGGGACATGATCCCCAGGCACTGCTGGTGCAACTATTCCTTTGTTATTAGACTCTTGGACCCAGACAGTGCTTCAGGAATCCCAGGTCCCTGAGAACAGAAGGGAAGCCTAGAGTAAGGAAGGCTTATCCTTGATGGAAGAGGACAAGATTAGGGAGCAAAGGGGACATACATAAGTAAAATTAGGGAGGCTGATAGGTTGTACTCATGAGTGCTGACAGAACTGTCTAACTCCATTGCAAAGCCACTCCCTTAGAAGGACTGAGCCATTGGAGAGGTTCCTCAGGACAGAAAGAGAACAACCCATTTTCAAGAAATGCAAGAAGGAAGATTTGGGGAGCTACAGGCTAGTCAGCTTCATACCAGTCCTTGGGAAGGTGATGGAGAAAATTATACTGGAAACTATTTCTAAACAGATGAAGGACAAGGTGATCAGAAGTAGTGAGCGTGAGTTTATGAAGGGGTAATCACACTTCACCAGCCTTCTACAATTACACTGATAGTTTGGTGGATCAGGAGAGAGTAGGTGTTCTCCACGTTATAGAGGCTTTCAGTATTATCTCCCTTAACATCCTCAGAGACAAGCTGAAAAAGTAAGGATTAGAAAAGTGCACAGTGGGGTGGATTGAAAATCCTCTATCGGAAGAGACCACCACCACAAGCACCACTACTACAAACATCCTTGCAAAGCTCCTCAACTGAAGATTTTTGTATCATTTGAGGCCCCTCCCAAAAGGAACAATTTAAAAAAAAACAAAAAAAAACTGAGGGAAAAAATGGTCACTCTGAGTTCTAGTTAGTAGTACTCACAGATTTGGCTTCTGTGGTGTTTTCTAGGTAGTCCTCTCGAGATGCAAGAGAGAGGCTTGCTTGATCAAGCTGTTAAAAATAACAAGAATAATAATTTAATAGGTAAATTAATCAGAATTCAAAGATAGTCCTATAAGCAACCTTGGAAGAGTTAATGTTTTTCTGGCAATTATGGTAGGATGTATATAAATATCTAATACATAATACATTGCACCAGTCTGCTTTCCACAGGATTTCAAAACAACAGACAAATGCCATGCTGTGCTAGCAGACATTACCTAAATCTTACCACTGTGATCTGGGGAATTTCACATGCCCTCTGCAATATCTGAGCCACCTACTACAGCAAAGAATCACCACCTGCTGTATGTGTTTATAGTTCCATAACTGAGTAGGTAATGCAATAGGACTGGGTGTACAGGATCAAACACTTTCTGCTGATGACCATGCATGCTACACATATTTCAGCGGCACAGGAGTCAAACATTAGTCTAATATATGGACCATTAGGTGCTAGAGCATGTTAGCTGCTGTATGCCTAGAAAGCATCATTAGGCTTCTTTGACTAAAACTGAAGTTACACTTTTGAGCTTCACCCTAGACCAGCACTGAGTACTGTATTTGGCTTTTTGAACAGATGCACTGAAACAGCTGGGTACCAGCCATGCAAATGATTGCATGCATGCACAGGAAATTGTTATGCCTCCAGTACATCAGCTAAAGATGTCTGGTAGATCCAGGTAGATCTTTGACTTTCATTTAATCTTTTTGGTCTAAACACGCATCAACTTTGTTGCTCTATAGTCATCCTAATATTGAAATAGTGTCCCCAAGGTGATTTCTAAACTAGTCCTGAAAATTCATTGAGATCTGCACTTAGTCTTTTGAGTTTTTACTACATGGGAGTATTTGCATATTGTTTCAAGCTCCCAACCATGTAAAAATCACTGCAGAGCAGATATCTTATAATTACTATTGGAAACTGAGATTTCCCAAAACACTTCAATGTTGTCAAGTTAGGTTAGAGTATGAAAGCCAAAGCTGAAAACATAATTCAACCAGTTTCCAAACTCTGAATAAGACACTGATAGGAACAGAAACAACAGTGTTGTGGTTTGAGCCAGGATAGAACCAATTTTCTTTCTAGTAATTTTACTTTGCAGTTAAGTCTCTTCTAAGAAACTGCACTTGCTGAAATTAACAGCATGTTTCTCTGTCACTGTCTGCTTCTAGGACTGATAACACTCCACGTTTATAGTTATTGCTGCAGAATGGTAGGCAGAACCAAGGCCATTGCTTGGCCAGTGCTCCAGAAATGAAAGAGAGTAAAGGGGTCACACTTGCGATCCTCCTTTGGAGAGGACTGGACCAGACAGGTGACCAAAAATGACCAAACTAAGTATTCCATCCCATACATGCCATGCTCCTTATAAATTTGAGGGATCACAAGGGTCAAGCTCTCTTCATCCATGGCTGGTGTCATAGAATCATAGAATCCTGGGAGATTCTGCCTTTGATCTTGATCCATGTTCCCAAATCCATGCACTTCTGTACCCAGCTCACACCTGCTACTGACTCCAGGGGTGTGATAATGTTTTCATATATATATAATTATTTCCTTTTTTATCATTACTGTTTCATTAAAGCTGTGCAGTTTAGTTTCCAACCTGTAAGTCTCTCTCCCATATTTTCTCTCCTTTCCCTCCAGGGGTTGGGAGAGGGGTTAATAGAGAGCATCTGTCAGTGATTTAATTGCCGGCCCAGCGTTAAACTGTGAGAAACAGTTTTGATGTTCTAAAATTACTATTTTTATGCTGCATTTGTTTTTTTAAAAGATAAGTCAAGTGCAGAGAGATTGTATATATTCATACAGTTTCACATAAATATTTTAAAATCTAAATCCTACAGTATTCATATTTCATGTTCTCTACCTTTATAAAAATGACCTAAATAAATACAACTAGGATCTCAAAAGAATGAATGTCAACTTTTCCTCTATTGACTGATGTTCTCAACGTTTAAAATATACCATCAACAAAATAAAACAAATCATCCACTAAAAGGTGCAACTCTGATTCTTTGAAAAACTGTATCACCCATTTTCAGCATACTGAAGCAAAAAGAATATATTCTCACACTTTGCGTATGTGTGTCCTGGTAGTAGTTAACTCCAGATTATTTGGTCCATTTCAATTAAGTGACTGTTGTATGAAATGCTGGCATTTTCCTGGCTTAAGAGTTAGCTTTGACAACCCATTGAAACCAAGAAAGCACAAATATGAGGAATAAACAAAAAAGCTGAACAACCTCTTGAGCCCTCCAGAAAGAAAGATCATGTTGAATGCTAAACAAAGTTTTATTTGGAGTTTTCTGATCCATTCATGATTTTGCAATGCTGAACAAAAAGAATTTTGCAACAGAACCACTTTCACAAGCAGCCTGAAATACTTTGTGGTACATCTGCACCCCTGGGAACTTGTTAAAACACAGACAAAGTGGAATACTGGCTGATG